TGAACAGCAAGGGAGGAGGGCACCTTTTGACTACTGAAAAGAGTATACTTGGGTTCATGGGTGATGCGTGGACAACAGCCACTTGGGCTGGGAACTGCAGTTAGGACGGGAATTGGGTGACATCAAGCAACTGGTTGATATCATATTGCACTGATTCACAGTGTCTACAAGCTCATTTCAGAGAACTCTAAAACGTTAAGTCCTATCTTGCTAACCTTTTAGAGTTCTTTGAAAGTATAATAAACATGTGGGCAGGAATGGGCTGATGTTGTTGTGCAGTCGCACAGTCGAGTTTGACTCTTCGCGACCCAGTGGACCACATCAGGTCAGGCTCTCTGGATAGACATTGTTTATTTGGATTTCCAGAAGGCTTTTGACAAAGTCCCTTACCAAAGACTCCTGAGCAAACTTCAGAGTCATGGGATAACATTGGAAATTGGCTTTAAAAGGGGAGTAGACAAATTCATGGAGAACTGGGCTAAATGGCTACTAATCAAGATGGATATCTACTCCCTCTAGTACCAGAGGTAGTATGCCTCTTTAAATCAGTTGCTGGGGAGCATAGGCAGGATGATGCTGTTGCAGTCTTCCTATTGGTTGGCTTCCTAGAGGTATCTGGTTGGCCTCTGTGTGAATGGAATGCTGGTGTAGATCAGCCTTTGGTCTGATCCAGAATGGCTCTTCTTATGTTCTTATGCAAAATTAGCAGGAGTTTTTTTTAACCAATCAACACAATGAATTTGCTTATAATTATATGGTGAAAAGTGTGAACTAAAAGCTAAAGCTGAACATACTATCTGGCAACTTTTTCATGCTTCCTTTTGTTTTAGGCATCAAAAAATAAAGATGGACAGGAACAAAATGAAGCTGTTTCCCTTTCAGAGGATGAAGAAATGGTCTCTTGGTCTGGCCTCAAAACAGTAGTTTTACGAAGATCGAAACATGGTTTTGGCTTCACCTTAAGACATTTCATTGTTTACCCCCCAGAGTCTGCTGTTCAATCTTCCTTAAAGGTGAGTTAAATGGCTCACTGCTTGTTGGTTGTAGATACATTAATATATCTGTAATGAAGAATACTGCACTAGTGCTATGGTAAGAACATTATTCACAGTTTAGAATTCATTCCAACTTAGTGATGGACATGCTGGAAATGACAAACAACTTCCTCATGTTATTGACTTAAACAGCAGTTCTATGCACCCTTTTTTTGGGGAAGTAGGGTTTTGCAAAAACAACAGTTCATTTTATTTGCTTAAAACCATAATTTGTTGCAGGCAGTGAACACAAATGTATACGAAAGTTTGGGTGGATCATGACTAACATCCTGGAAGTAGCTAATTACAACTGTTGCATTTATAGACCAGAACTGCAACAGTGCCTCTAAAATATATATTTGCTGAGCTTTAGAAGGTGCTGGATCCGACCAGGGGCCCTTCTAGTACAACATCCTGTTTTACACAGCGGCCAGCCTGTTTTCCCAGAGGGCCAACAAACAGGGATAGAGGCAAAGGTTTTCCCCTGATGCTGCTTCTCTAGCACTGGTATTCAGGGGTTTACTGCCTATGAATGTCGCATATTCTAATCATTATGCTGAACCCAATTAAGTGTCCATTTAAACAAGAAACAGCAGTACACTGCATGATAATTTAGTTCTGGTTTTTCTAGCTGTTAAAGCAGTAAGTGCTGTCACATAGGTCACATTTTGATCCAAATCAGACTGTGAGTAATGTGTTCAAAATCCTTTTGCCCAGTAGTTCTACGGAATAGACCTGAATTAATAACTTTTTATTTTTTTCATTCATACCATGTCTTTCTCTCCAATGGGGACCCAAAGCAGTGTTCATGAGGGCATGACAAATCCTTGTTGTCATGTTGCCATGGCTCCTAGAAACTTCATTGTGGCACCTGGTTTTTTGTTTTTTGGTAGCAGTAATTAGAAAATATGGTCATACATAATACTGCTGAAATATGAATCTGTTTTCAAAATTTCGGAACTGACTTTTAGAGCCAAAGAACATTTGTCAATGCTTGACATACATTGTTCTCCTCTTCATTTTATTCTGACAACAGGAACCCTGTGAGGTAGGTTAGAGTGAGAGTGTGACTAGCCAAGGCCACTCAGCAAACTTCCAGGACAGACTGGGGACTTGAACTTGAGTCTCCCAGATCCTGGGCCAATACTCTGTCCACTATACCACATTGCTGTAGAGTTTGGGATCCCAATATAAAGGGCAGTATATGATACAGTAAGTTAAATTCTCAGTTGTCCCATTGTTGCATTCACATGGCTTTTTGTCTTCTGTGATTTGCATCTGCCATCCACATATGTTGATGATGATCTAAGGAAGTGTAACTGTCTGAAGTCTTTCCTTAGTGAGCACTGTCTGGAAGGTAACATTAAGAATATTCTGGGTTTTGGAATATATTATTACTGATATGATTCAGTGGCATTAGTTATATTTTTATATGAATGGCCTTCTAAATATGCTTGTGGTTTTTATGCTGTTTAGGAAGCTTTGCCTGAATCCTACAAGTAGACCCCAGACTGTGTAAAACTGCTCAGTGGTTAAAAATATACTTAAATGGTATATGATTTTGAATCTTTATAGTTGGGAGCAGATTGAGAAGTTAGTATGTACCATTGCTGCTTTTATATAATATCCCAGCACCCCAGGCAGAGCTAAATAAATATTAAATGGCTATGGTAGTTGTAAAGATGGTTAAAAACTATACAAACTAATGAAATTATCATTGGTACTTGCAAATCAGGTTGTTTTGCTGCTGCCTAAGTAGCTCTTGGCCAGTTTGAGGTGAATTGTTATGAAAAGCTTGGCCATAAATGCTTTGAAGTGGTTCTGTTTTCCAGAATATTGGTTTTTTATGTTTTTCTTTTGCAGGATGAAGAGAATGGAAATGACAGTGGTATGTTCTCTGTGATTCTTGTATTTTTTAGAATAATATTTAAAAAGCCATAATTTATATATATCTAGTCCATAAAACAGTCCATTTTTTCAGTTTCTATGTTTATGGAGGAACTGTGTTTTAAAGACTAGTATTTTATTATTTTAATGTATATTCTTTATGAAATGTATAGACCTGTCTTGTAGGTTTGTTAATTTGTACATCTGAAGATATAGTTCTGGATGAAAGGCAGAAGACCAATACCTGTATATTTTATATTTTACTATAAAATTTAATAATCTAAGAACAAAGTATTCATCTTTCTGGTTCATACATAGTTCTTTTGAAAGATTTTAGGTATGTCCTGTCATGGCCATTGAAAATTCTGTGTAAACTGTTTATATTTTCAAATATAAACTGCATCTTAAGAATCACTACAAATGGTTTTGCCTTATGTTCCAATCTTTGTCTCTCATATGAGCAAACTGTAGAGATGATGGATACTCAGTGATATATCCAATCTAACTAATACCCATGCAAGTTCTGTCCTATTTCCTACAGGCTAATAGAATGAATTGCCAAGAGCAAGTTTGGCTACAGGATATGTTTAATATGTCTTCTGGTATAATAGAAATAAGTACACTGCTGATGTATCTAAAAGTGCCCCCCCCCCCCCCCCGGTGATATCCCTTTTTGAGATGTTGTTCCATTCCTTTCAAATGTGGATGTTATGGTCACTTCATCTAGCTATCCTTCTGATTTGAAAGTAAAGAATGCATGCCTCCTGTTTAATTCGAAGACCTCAGAAGGGACTGCGGTGTCTTCTTGGGGCTGCTTTCTGCTCCTCTTTGGTTTATGCTTTGGATCCCAGGATGCTTTTTTCCCATGGTCTCTCAGTTGTTGCTCTCCTATCTTGGCTGCAAAACTGAATTAAAGCAGCCCTTATGCTTCTGCTATATTGGTGTCTGACTGAGGTGGTATTGGTATAGGAGAATGGGAGTTGGGGTAGACGGTATTGTGTAGAGGGCAAAAGTCGTTGCTGGATGCATGTTGTCCTCACCTAGCACAAATACCATTAGAAAGGTAGATTCAGGTGGGTAGCTGTGTTGATCTGAAAGCAGCAGAGCAAAGTTTGTGTCCAGTGGCACCTTTAAGGCCAACAGAGTTTTATTCAAGGCATGTGCACACACTTCTTCAGATACAAAGAGATTTGAAGAAGTGTGCATGCACATGAAGGTTTGTAAAACTCTGTTGGTCTTAAAGGTGCCGCTGTATGCAAACTTTGATCTATTAGAAAGACAGTTCTGTACATGCTGATAAGGTATGGTACTATATGAACAAGCTCAATTTCCATGTATTGCCCTCTGTCCTTAGCACGAAGAGTCGATTTATGACTTCTGTTTTAGTTATAATAATTTCTACAAACTGCCAGTGATTTCTACAAACCAGGAATGAAAGCAAGGCTTCGTGGTGTCAAGTGGGGTGGAGACAATAATAGTGTAATGTTAGCTTTTCCCTGTATGTGTATCGAGGGCTGAGAAAAGTTAATGTTTGTATGCTAGTTGGATTGTAAAGTGTAGTGAAGGCCAAGGAAGTGCTGGCAGGTGAAAGTGAAGGAAACCTGTGGGCTCAAAGGATTAAAGAAGCTTTCAGTGGGAAAAGAATGGAGCAAGTAAACCGTGTGATGAGTCACAATTTGAACATCAGTGAAGTTATCTTTAGAATGAGAAAGCAGAGTGAAGGAGCAGGAGTCATAAAGAGAGGACATGAAGCTAGCTGCACAGAGCGCTTATTTGATGCCAACCCACTTCACTTCCATCAGATTTCATGCAAAGAAATCTGATGATTTGGGATAGGGATGGGTTGGTCATTACTTTCATTTCACAAGGGCTTGATCCAAAGAAGCAACATGTGCACTGGGGAGAAAACACTGCACTCCGTTTGCTTCTTTCTGCTGCAGCGTTTTCCACTGCCAAGGTACAGTCAACAGCAACAAACACTTAAGCATGGAGATCACACTTACACCAAATTAATTAAAAATAAACACTACTTTTTTGTTTCCAATTTTGCAATTGGTGGACACTTTGGGAAATCTTTTAAGGTGAAAAAAAGGTCAGCATCATTTGAAAAGTGGGAAAGGATTTTGCTACAGAGACTGTAGGGAGTCTATAATGGTATGCTAATGAGGGAGTAGCTAGTTGGGTGTACATGATCAAAATTTTTATTTGTGTAGTTTTTGAATAACCTAACTAAGAAGGAAAGTAGCTCATGAGGCAAGCTGCAGGCAATTGTTTATATTTTTGAAAAGACTTTCAAACATTGTAGGTATTCATTAAAGTTAATATGCATAGGACCATATCACATGAACGCATGAAGCTGTCTTATATTAGCTCTGTTTGCAGGGCAGATGCAATCTTGTTCAGTCTATCCTAGATTTTTTAATACATGAGTTTAGTAGTTCCCATGTTACATTCAACATATGTACATCTGAATGTGTGAGTTAAACCCTGACATTTATCCAGGTACTGGTCCCAAGTTACATTTGTAAAGTAAAATGTATTGGCTCTCTCTTATGAACGTGCGTATACACATACATGCAAGTTGTACATGCATTCACAGAAGCATGTAGGGCTACTGAATAAGATCCTTGGTCTATTATGGTCGGTATTGTCTACTCATATTGGCAGTGGCTCTCCAGGATTTCTGGTAGAGATCTTTCATACCCATCACATCACTCCTTGATCCTTTTTAACTGGAGGTGCCATGGATTGAACCTGGGACCTTCTGTCTGCCAACATTAGCTACCACTGAGCCACAGTCCCTCCCATATCTTATCTGTGAATTTCTACTGTGATACTGTTTAAAGTATATGCAAAGGAGCCATCTAGTGGCAAACTTATCACAAATTAGAACTGAAAAATGGGATCATTTAATAAAGGCAGTGTACTATAAACAGGGCTATATTATCTAGCTGGTAACAGAATGATTTGATTAAGAGTAGGCTACTCTTTTATTGTTTTTATAAGTGTTGTCATAGACTACGATCTAAGTATTGAAAGCAATAGTGGAATGTTGTGTTTATTGGCCTTTCCCATTTGATCACTCTTTTCTGGTCTTGATTTTACTGAAGATGGGGTGAGTTACAGAAAGATACCAAAAATTATCTGGTGGCATACATTTCAACTTTGTTCTTAAACTTCAGAAACTGCTGACATAAAAATCTACCTATTTTCAAGGAAGAATGTAGTAGTTTGCCTTTGGTTTATGTGGATTCACAGATGAGTTTCTGGCTAATAGGCGTTCACATTGGATGGATATGTTCATTATGTGGACTACCTTCTTCTGTTTATGTGTGGGTAGTTCAGGAAGTAACCTGGTTGAAGAATGAAATGTAGAAAGTTTTTGGGGAACACCTGGAGAAGACTGGGAGGACACTGATAAGCTGACTGAGTTTATGGTGCAGCATTCTTCTTTCTACTCTTTTTGTGTATTCGGAGATTTGTATCCTGCTTCTCTGTTAAGTATTTATTTAGAATATTTATATGCCACCTCTCCAGAGACCTGCTTGAGGAGGCTTACAACCAAGACAATGAAACAAAACCATTAAAACGTATCCATAAAAACAAATCCATTAAAACACAACCGTTAAAAAAGACAAGTGGCATAAATGGTCAAGTGGTCAAGACAGTGGCATAAATATATATACTGAACAGCCTAAAATGATCCTCAGATCAGAAAGAGACCATGAAATGCTTAAAACATAAGTATATACAAAGCCAAGTTATAGGAAAACTGCATCAATACATCAAGCCAGATGAAATAATAATGTTGTTCTCTTCAAGAGCCTTTTTAACAGTTGCCCTTTTCCTTAAAACTCTTCTGGAATGACAGTCATTGGAACTGGACTTCGAACTTGCATTTGTGATAAGCTTAGAGACCCTTTTAAGCACATTAGGAACCCCTTAATTTGTCTGCTCCTTGCCCATATCTTATCTGGCGTTGATTCCAAACATGGATCTTTTTCCTTGTTTCTTACCCTGAACTAAATCTGAACTGTCATTTGAAATCTTGGCTGGCAACTGCATTCTTGGCCCAGTTGTAAACTGATGTTAACAAAATCACCCCCCCCCCCGACTTCCTGTCCCTTTGACAATTGCCTAATAAGTAGAGAGGCACAGGCAGAAGTGCAAAAGTTGAACACTGGCTTGCAGTTGGAGATTCAATGTTGGGAAAAGATTGCTTCTGTGGTGTATTCAATTCAGTGAAAACTGTGTATGACCTCACTCATTGAAACACCATGTAAAGCTTCGTCCTGGGCAAGGATCCTAATCACTCAATTCCTATTGGTAACCTAGGAAGAGCCGACCAATCACCTACCATCCAGTTCCCTGAGAGGGAACGTCTGTGATTGGACATTATTCTTACAATCCTATTGGTTGTTATGTACAGTAGGGCGTGGCTACATTAGCCAGGAGAGTTTAAAAGAAGCACAACTGCAGTACTAATGTTGTTCTGAGGATTCTGTTCTAGTTGTGTTACGCATTGCTCAATAAAGCTGAATCGCTTGCTGAAATCACTTTCTGACTCTTTGTTAAGTAGCCGACTTAACAATTGGCAACGAAGGTGGGATTATAGAGTTGGTAGGCAGCCCCGCTTAAATCAATCCCACGACGGACGAAGACGAGCATCGCGCCGTGGCTGATCAACCACAGGCACCACCAGATCCGGTGGAAGCGCCTGCCGTGATGGCCAACAGCCAGAGTTTCGAGGCTTTCGAACCCACAACAGAGGACTGGGACGCCTACCTGACGTGGTTCGAGTTCCACCTCGAGGCAAATGACATCACAATGGAGGCGAAGAAGTGGGCCACCCTCTTGAGCTCTTGTGGCAAGAGCGTTTTCGATGGTCTCCCCAGCAGACATCAAGGCGGTGTCGTTCAAGGACATCACGGAGAAGCTGAAGGCTCACTTCTCACCCCAGCCTTCGGAGATTGCCTGCCGGCACGCATTCTACAAGTGGCA